CGTCACTTTAATCGGGTTTGAGCCAAACTGCCGAGCAGATCTAACCTCCGAGGGATTGGATTATGGAGGACATTAGCGTGAGTGAAGTCATGTCTTTCTGCCAGACGTCTGCGCTGAGGTCACCTGTTCCTCTGAGGCTAAACCGCCCGGCAACAGCCGCTGCATCATTTATGATTGGGCGGCCGCCGGTCACGTGACGCCGATGTTTAATGAATGAAGTGTGGTCGTGGTGTTAAGTGTTGTGTAGCTGGACGGACGGTGTTGTTCCCGGATCAGCTGACGCGTCATGTGACCACTCTCACTGCTGAAATATGAATGAAACTCATTAATATCTGAAACTCGATAGAACAGCTCCACAGACCGATTAATGCATAAAGAATAATAAATCCGCCGCTAGCAGCAGGATGGAAAGGCTCAGCGGCACTTTGTTTAACTTCCTGTCTGAGCATCATGAAGCTGTTTGTGATGCAGTTTAATGTGATGAACAGATGAACTGCTGCTGCTGCGGTCAAACACGACGTCATCGCAGTGATAAAGAACCTGATGCAGCACCTGAGCACTGCTTTACTGCAGAACAGCATCTTCTGACTGTTCTAATGACAACGTTCTGGTAGATTAATGGTAGCAGCTGCTTCAGTTCCTTGAAGACGTTCCACCTTCATCCAAGAGCTCATCCAGACTCATCGCTGGAAACTGGTTTCATGTGTTTATTGTTCTGAACAGCAGCAGGATCTGATCTGCTGTCGGTCAGAACCTGCTGGATGGTTCTGAGGAAGCAGCAGCTCCACCTGCAGCAGGACCAGCTCATCTGCTTCTCCTTCACAGCTTCAAAGCCTCGTCGTCTCTTCTGGCTGTAATCCTTCGCTGCCGCTAATCCTCCAGCTTCCTTCCTTTCACTGCTCGTCGCTCATTTCGTCTCTGAATCCTCCGTTCTCATGATCTGGTCGGGTTCTCTTCGCTTTAGTACGTTTTCTCTGCACGTCTCCAAATGGTTCTGGATGTTCTGGTTAAGATCCACGTCACAGTTTGTTCTTCTTCTGAATAAATCTGGATCACGTGGACGGATTGTTTCCTCCCACAGATCAGCAGAACATTGTTGTTGTTGTTGTTATTTTGTTGTTGTTGTTGTGTTGTTGTTGTTGTTGTTGTGTGGCAGTAGTTTGTGTTTGTTTATTTGTTTTGATGTCTTGTTGTTTTTGTGTTTCTGGTCATCTTGTGTTGCAGGTTTTGAAGCATTTTTGCCTTTTTGTGGTTGTTTTTTGATGTTTTTTGTCGTTTGTTTTTCTGGTTTAAATAAATGTTTTTTCTCTTGTGGTTGTTCTGAAATGTTTCTGCGTCTTTGGATTTAAAACATATTTACGCCTCTTTGTGATCATTTAAAAGTTTTTCTCCTTTTGGAAGTGTTTTGAACTATTTTTGTCTTTGTGTGTTTTTTCTCTCGCGGTCGCCAATGACGTCTGTTAGCATGCTAACAGGTTAGCATGCTAGCCTGTTAGCTTCCCCGTAAACCCCTCTAGAGGCTGAACATGTGACTAAAACTGCGTGTTCCAGCTTTTATTCTGCTGATCGTCAGCTGCCCAGAAACATGAGCTCAGGTTTAAAGAAGCTTGAATTAGATTTTAATTTGAACCCTTTGGATGTTTAATAATTAAACGTAATCAGCATGAAATGAACAGTGAACGAATCTGGTGTTCTGGTGGAGTCGACTCGTGTTGTCCTCGTTTCCTCGTCTCCTTCCCTTGTCACCTCTCCTCTCCACATCTGTCCTTTCTTATCGTCACCGTGCTTGTTTGTGGTCTTTGTCCTCATTTTGTGTTTTTTGTGTTTATTTGTTATTTATGTGTTATTTGTGCCTTTTTGCCTATTTTTTGTCGTTTTTGTGGTGATTTTGTGTCTCTTGTGGTCGTTTTGATTTGGTGGTTGTTGTGTTTTGTCATCATTTTGCATCTCTGTCATCATTTTCAGGTCATTTGTGTTATTTTGTGTTATTTTGTGTCTCTTTGTAGTCGTTTTGTGTTGATTTTGTGTCCATTCGTGGTTGTTTTTTGTCTTTTTGTGAACGTTTTGTGAATTTTGTCCAGATTTTGTGTCTCTTTGTGGTCGTTTGGTGTATTTTTTTGTCATCGTTTTCTGTTCTTTTGAGGTCGTTTGTGTTGTTTTGCGGTTGCTTCCTTGTTTCCTTTCCTCAATCCCTCGCTTCCTCCTCCTTCTCCTCCATCCTTCTCTAAAGTCCATCTTTTCTTCCTCCTCATGTCTGTATTTCACTAATCGTTTTATCCATGCAGCATGACACACACACACACACAGACACACACACACGGACACACACACACACACACGGACACACACACACACACACACACACACACACGGACACACACTGCTGTAGCCTCTGTCTGAACCTCCTGAGCTCTGCCAGATTCGGCTGCTGCTCGTCGCTGATAACAAACTGCGTCTCTCAGGAGGCTTCATGGTTTCAGTCGCAGCCGATCGATGAGTCTGAAATAAAAATCTGTCAGAACAGACGACGACTGAAGCAGACGACAGAGAAACGCTGAAACATGGCGACTGTGAGTCCAGCAGAGGAACACTTCAGAGGCTCCATCAAACGCCACTCAGGCAGCGTTTAAACAGGAAATGTGGAAACTAAATGATAGGAGCAGGTGAAATAGATTAAAAAGGCAAAACTGAAAAATACAGTTTAAAAAAACAAGATAAAAAAAAGCTACATAAAAACATCACGGCAAGAAGAAAAGATATCAAAAGAAAAAAAAAGAAAAAACCCCATAAAAGACAAAACTTATTTTAAAAAAAATAAAAAAAAACATCTGCAAGTTTAAACTAGATTGAAAAAAAAAACTAAAAATATATTAAAAAGACAAAAAAATCAAATCATATCATTAAAGACAAAACATTAAAAACAGGAATCTAAAAACTGTATGAATTCATTAAAATAGAAAACATACAAAACAATATACCAAAATAAAACAATATTTTAATTAATAAAAACAAGAAAAGACATTTAAATGACACAAGAAATGTAAAATAAACTAAAAAGTTATTTGCAATAGTTTAAGACCTAAACAGGTGGATATAAAACACACCTGCTGCTCAGATTTCACCTGCATCGCTGCAAGTTTGTCCTCGTGTCAGTCTGCAGGAGACGAAGCTCAACTACAGGACGGTCCTCACAGGGACGGTAAAACTGGTCCATCTGTGAAAGTGAAGACGGTCACAGTGTGTGTGTGTGTGTGTGTGTGTGTGTGTGTGTGTGTGTGTGTGTGTGTTCTCCATAATGACTAATTGATCTGTTGCTCTTCCTCTGCTTTTAAAAAATTGCACTTTTATCCAGGTTTTGATTGGCTGCTCAGGAAACGTCGTTGGCCAATGAGGCGTGTCGCTGCACGCGCGTGTCTGAGCTCCGCCCGGCGACCAGAGGAAACCTTTTAACTGGTCTGATGTGTGAGTCGGGCGGAGGCAGGAAGAAGAAGAAGAAGAAGAAGAAGAAGAAGAAGAAGACGAGGGAAACAAAAAACGGATGTAAAACGTCTTTGTGTGTGTGTGTTCTTGTTTTTCTGACTTCAGGGGTCTGGTGGTGTTTGGCTCTCTGCTGCCCCCTCAGCTCCTCTCTGGTACTGCAGCCTGGTACAGAGCCACGTGTTTGAAGCGTTTTTAGAGATTTATGATTTCATTTTTGGGGTCGAGTAGAATAAATGTCCACGCTTTAATGATCTGAAATGTTTTCTGTCTTCCTGTACGCTGCTGCAGCACTCAGGACACTTTACATAAAATCCACCAAATCTGAAACGGGTTCCCATGTGACCCATTCAGAACCAGCTAATATCAACATTCATCAATAGTTGTTCAGAAATACCAAAATGACAAAAGAAAGTCTGATATGACCTAAAATGTGTCCTGAATGACTCAATGTACAAAATGAGTTCAACTTTGTCTACACTGCAAAAAACATTCACAAAATCATTTTCAAATGCCACAATGACAAAAACAAACAAACAAAATGGCTTAAAAATGACACAAAACGACTAAAGATTCAGAATGAAAATGCTTTAAAATTTGCCCAGTTACTAGAAAATGAATCGAAAATGAGAAAAACATCCAAAAGACTTAAAACATTTACATTTTCAGATTGAAACAAAAAATATGAAACTAAAATCTGAATAAAAATGCCTTAAAATTCCTTAAAAAGACCAAAGAAACAACAATAATCTCCTGTGGAAACCAGTGTGACCAGTAACACGACAGCAGCCTGTTGTTCTGGTTCATGGAAACCCGTCAGAGTGAGACATGTCGGGTTCGTCCTATCTCTGGTTCCTCCTGCAGCTCAGATGGAGAACAGAGATGTTTTCTGTGGACAGTGTCTCCCTCTGCTGTCCACACAGAGAACTGCACTAAAAAACATTACATTAAAATCTCAGAACAACAACAGATAAAGTTCTATTTCTCCAGCTTATTATCATTAACTCATTAATTCCAGCTGGTCACATCTGTTTGTGCGTCTCAGGTTCACATTCAAGTGAATGAATAGTTTAATCTGGACCCTCCTCTGCAGCCGGTAGCTCTAAAAATAACCACAGCATGAAGGTAAAACTCTGCTTCATTAAATAAAGTTACTGCGGATAAAGACTCAGATGATTCTGAGGAAGTTTGGGAGGAACTCTGATCAGATCATTTTTATTTTATATAAAATGGATTTACATGATGAGTAAGAAATAGTGTAAGAATGAAACGGAACCGCTGTCAGATGTTGTCAGAAAGATCCCAAAACAGAATTAAAATAAAACCCGATTGGTTTTTTCATTTGTCTTTAAATGTCTAGATTTAAAACAAACAAACAAACAAACAAAAACTTCATTTCCCAGCCGCCCCGGGGCGCAGCATTGCAACACTGACCCCCGCCCCTCCGCCCCTCCGCCTCGTCGTCCAATCAGGTTTCAGGATGAGCTGGCACTAAAACACCGGAACAGGAAGCTGCGCTAACAGGCTAGCAGGCTAACTGACAGGCGCCAGCAGACGGGTTGACTCCGCAGCGGACTGATCTTCTCCCGGTGTGAGTCTGCAACGCTTTACAGGTGAGTCTCACCTGCTCAGTTCTAACCACCGCCTCGTTTTATCACCGCTAGCCGAGGCTAACGGCTGCTAGCTGCTCCTAGCCTGCTAATAAACGAGTTAGCTTGTGGCGCGAGACGATCCTCACAACTTCGCACAGTCAGAACTTCATAAACAGTTTTATATCTCCAGCAAGTAGACGGAGCCCGCAGCGGCTAACAGGCTCAGTCGGATGCGTTGTGAGCAGCTAGCATGCTAGTTAGCTGGACACCAAAACAACAAGCAGAACTGTGTCGCATTCCAGCGATTACACGGAGCCCGTCGAGCACATTCTGTTCTAATTAATGTCCTCCTGACGTGCTTTAGTTCCAGCACATACACGAACTCAAACACGAGCACTGCGCCCCGTGTGTTAGCGAGTTTAATCGAGTTTTAGTGACGTGGTGAAGATCTTAAACGGACTTTGGCTGCTGTTATCAGACTAGTTAGCTCGTAGCTGTCAGGAGTTAGTCGGTGTTGGCAGCTGGTTCTGCTGCCTGAGCTCCTACACAGTTACATAAAGGAACAAAGAAAAGTGTCTCTGCTGCGATGAACACAGTCAGATGTGATGTCAGGGTTAGCATGCTAGCTGCTAGCTGCCACTCCCCCCCACAGGCCGCCCCCAGCCACACTTCACCCACTAACAGCTGATGTAACGTCTAATGCCTGGACTGAAAGAGCCTCTCATTCATCATCACAGGACGCAGACGGAGCCTTCAGGGCCCACCTGGTTCGGTCCAGATGTTACTGTGAACTGTCAGAAATCTACAGTTGAATTCTGACGAGTCACAGTTCAGGTCTGGTTCCTCCCAGTCCAACATGTTCAGACACCTCAGAGCTCATTCACTGTCTCAGCAGGAGTCGGTCGGGGAGCAGAACCAGCTGTTAGTCGGGTCAGAACAAGGCTGGTGGGGGGTCAGAACAGAACCTGTGAACCTCCAGCAGCAGCTTCTGGGTGTTTCCTCATAAAGTCAGTGGAAACAGAACCATGTGGAGAAGGAGGCAGAACTCACAGATCATGTCCTAAAGAGTTCAGTCATGAAGAACAGAAGTTGAGTTTCTTTGGTTCTGTGTCCACACGGAGGCGCCACATGCTCCAGATGTTTACCTGTTTATCATGTTTGTGTTGTTTTGTGTCTCTTTGTCTGTGGTTTTATTTCTCGTTTTTCTCGCTGTGTGTTCTGTTTATGTCTTTAAGTTGTGTTTTACTTCTAGTTGTAGTTTTTCTATCGTCCAGAATCTGGTGAGAAATAACGAGACACACGGAGTCAGTTTATGGTTTTATCACACGGTGTGTTCAAAGGCCGTCGGAAAGTAGATAATCTGATGATTTTCTCTGTTTTCAGGACAGAATAAATCAGAAGTTGTCTGGAGTTTACCTGAAAAGACAAAACTGACTTTAAATGTGTCAGAATCACAGAAAATGGTCCAAAAATGCCTTAAAACGGGTTAAAATGTCCTGAACCTGAAACTCATCCTCTGGTTTCACGCTTTGCAGCAGTCGTGTGACTTCTGTCCAGTGAAGCAGCTGGACTTGGAACATGTTGTTTGGTTCATTTTCCTGATGAATATCTGAGGATGTTATTCTGAATTTTGGCAGCTTGTGAATCTCTACGTTGCTTTTCAAGGTTTCTGGGTTCAGAGGGAACAAATGTGTTCCTAATAAACTGGTACCTGGTCGGTTCTTCTCCCTGACGTGGTGTCAGCGGTGTGTTCTGTGGGATGTCTCAGCTCGTCAGACTGGTTTCTGACACAGTGTTAGTTCATCAGTGTTCATGTTTGTCCTGAACTACGTCCACGTCAGCTGCTTCTCACGTCTGTTCACTTGGTTTTAAGATAATTGTTTTGGTCTCTGAGTCTCTTGGACTGTGCACCATGTAAGGTGTTGGTTTGAAGGTGTCCCCCCTCTGGCGGGTCCACGGCCCCTCTGTGGTTCTTCAGACCCGTCCAGTAAAGTGCTGTGACCGGTTTTGTTAATCAGGGTTTCATGAATGAAGCGCAGCAGAAACATCAGAGACATGCAGATTTAGTGATAACAGCAAACAGTCTGGTGGTGTGTCGGCCTCCATCATGACCTGCTGCAGGCGGTAGAGACGTGGAACATGTCCACAATACTGTCATTTATTAATGTTTCTATAACAGACGACCTAATGTATGTATTTAGAAGTAGAACTTCCATTCAGTACTTTTCCTCCATGTATCTATAAATCATAACCTGTGTCTGTCCTCAGCATGAGTCTGCAGTGGACGGCCGTCGCCACCTTCCTCTACGTCGAGGTCTTCTTCGTTCTCCTGCTCTGCATCCCGTTTATCTCACCCAAGAGGTCAGTGCTCAATTCAATTCAATTTTATTTGTATAGCGCATATTTACAACAAGTCATCTCATAGTGCTTCACAAAGGCAGAAACAGAAACACCCAACAATCCAAAACATCTGGATTCCACAGCCTCACCTGTCCTATAGCCTCACCTGTCCCACAGTCTCACCTGTCCTATAGCCTCACCTGTCCTATAGCCTCACCTGTCCTATAGCCTCACCTGTCCACAGCCTCACCTGTCCTATAGCCTCACCTGTCCTATAGCCTCACCTGTCCACAGCCTCACCTGTCCACAGCCTCACCTGTCCTATAGCCTCACCTGTCCCATAAACTCTTACTTATTTGCCTGTAATTATTTAACTGTTATATGAAGTTTAAATATAATACCTGAGGTCATGATGTTAGTAAACGTATCGTAGACCAGCTGCAGTACCTGGTTGTTCCACCAGGTGGAGACCAGAGGAGGCGTCTACAGACTACAGCTCATGGTGGCAGCAGAGAGCATTGTGGGAGTTTAGCAGCAGCAGCGGGACCATGACAGAGACTCTGAGGAGGTTCAGGACCTCCAGGTGGAGCTCAGGTGGAGGTTATCTGTTGTCTAACCAGCTGCAGAGCGTCTGATGCACCCAGAACATCTCTGTCAGCGTCATGAATGAGGTCCACTGGACTGATGAACAGTTACTAATGTGATCGTTGGTTCAGGACGTTACTGAAGATGTCAGACGTCTGGGAATGGTCCATACACGTCAACGTATATAAACTATGGACTTAAACCAGTGAGGAGCTGTGTTTCATCCTCTGGAACCCCACAATGCACAGCGTGTTGTGTTACTATGGCAACTTCATGTCGCGAGCATAACGAGCATAACGAGCATAACGAGAGAGGAATGAGAACGTTTCTACTGTTGTCAGAACCACACCTGGACTGAGCAGCTCCAGCAGCAGACTAACCAGACAGAGCAGCTGTGAGGTCTTCATGTAGAGGGCCCGGTTCAGTCCGACACAGAGCAGCTCTGTCTGGTCACATGAACCCATCAGCTCTGGTTCCTCAGGACAGAACAGAACCCAGCGTTCAGTCACTGAGTCACAGGAGAACCTCAGTGATCTCACTCTGAACCAGAACAAATGGAGACACTGAACGATGAGGAGTGAACTTAACAAGATGAACGGGACCTCCTCAGAACATCTGGTTCTGGTTCTGCAGCACCTTCATCTACTGACCAGAGTTCTACCTTCAGACTGTGAATGTTCCAGAGGTCCAGGTCCTTCAAGTCCACAGAGGAGGGTCCAGATTGATCACCTTAATGGACTTTTTCCATCATTTCTGAGCCTCAGAACTTCATCAGAACTTCAGATAGACACATGACATGTAGGGTCTGGACCAGCGGTGATGGACCCTGGTGTTCAGTCTGATGTTTGGTCACTAGGTGGCGCCACAGCTGCACTTTACCGTCCACTCAGATCCTCTGATCCTTTATGTCTTCATACATTCTGCTTTTATATCACGAGTTATTTGATTCTGAGCTTTGGTTTGTCTTCGATAGTTTTCTTTAATTGTCTTTGCTGCTGCTTTTTGTCATCAGACCTCGTTATAAACTCCTTAATCAGTGAGCAGAGCAGCAGCAGCACTCACCACAGTCTGGTCCAGTCCAGAGATGTTCAGCTCATTGTCTCAGAGAGAAACCAGAACCAGAACCAGAACACGTTCACACTGAAGGAGCTGAAGTCAGTTTGTTGTTTTAATTGCTCAGACCCGTTGACTGATGATCAGAACAGCTGGAGGTTTGACCCAGACCAGCTCGTTAGTGGTCTTCTGATGAGACTGTGGTTGTGTTTCAGGTGGAACAAGATCTTCAAGTCCCGCATCGTCCAGACCATCGCCCTCTATGGAAACACCTCCTTCATGGTGGCCATGGCCATCCTGGTCTTCCTGCTCATCGGTACGTCTGGCCCGGTCCAGGTCACCCGTCTGGTCTTTAAATGTCTTTAAATGGTCCGACAGCAGCTGGTGTGTTTGTGGATCAGATCTCTGGACCTTTAACGCTTTGATTCAGCTGGTAGACGTTGAGCTGCGACAGAATCTGAAATGTTTAACGCTTTAAGCTTCAGACCTCATCACAGGGAGAGGCCAGATTACACAAACACATCAATAAAACAACAACAAGAAGAAGAAATAAAATAAAAAATAAATAATATGGTGATATAAAACAATATGAATGAAAAAATGAATCTATAAAAGAAAAGGCTGATAAAAAATAGAAATAAAATAGCAATCATTTATTTATTTTTCTTTTAAGTTTATTTATTTTTATATTTTTATTGTTTTTTTTGTTTTTATTTATTTTTTATTTATTATAATGTCGCTTTTAAAGCAAAGGAAATATGTGCAGACAAAATGGATGTGCTCTGCTTTTAAAGTGACATTATAAAAATGAAAAGAAATTCAAATTAAACAAATTAAAAATAATAAAAAAATTAGAAAAAGAATAAAAGGAAAATTATTATTATGTTATTTATGTGTCTTTATATTTCTGGCCTTTTCTTTTATGGACTCATTTGTGATTAATTTCGCTTTATATCACCATGTTATTTATTCTTTTATTTTATTTATTATTCTTTTATTTCCACTTTGTTTTCTTGTTGTTTTGCTGGTTTGTGTGTCGTCTGCCTCTCGCTGCTCCATCAGGCCTCATTCAGCTCCTTTATTCTCGTTTCTCTGCTGTTTCTGTTTCTAATCTTCTTTCTTATTGTCTTCAGTCTGTTTGATTTATTTATACTGAAACTTATTTAAATATGATTTTACTGTATTAATTATATTAAGTATTTTATTCATATATTTAACATGTTTTGCAGATTTAGTGATGAGACATTTTTGTGACGTCATGTTTTGGTCTTTTGTGGTGATTTAATTAATTTTTAATAGTATGATGTCATATTTTTAATAATTTACTCTTTTTTAAATTTTTTTACATATTTTGGATTTTCAGTTATTAATAATTTATCACCTTAATAATAATGTTAAAAAAAATATTTAATACTTAAAAACATTAAAATAATTATTTTAATATTTTATGAGCATTTTTGTGAACATGAGTCATGTTTAGAATATTATTTTGTTCTTCGGTGATGCAGCTCACCTGTGACACCTGAGCAGGTCACATGACAACTCTGTCTGTGTGTTACTGTGTGTGTGTGTGTGTGTTACTGTGTGTGTGTGTGTAGATGCGTTCCGTGAGGTGAGGAAGTACAGCGTGACGGAGAAGGTGGATCTGACCAACAACCCGACGGCCATCGAGCACATTCACATGAAGCTGTTCAGAGCTCAGAGGAACGAGTACATCGCCGGCTTCGCCCTGCTGCTCTGCCTGTAAGAC